TTCCAGTCGGCTGCGTGCAGAGTAGGGGAAGAAAATGGTCATACTACAGGAGCTGTTGAGTGATGTGATATTGGCATCTGGCAGACAGACAGAAGCTCGCTCTGCAAGGCAGATGCTGTGTGTCTCAGTGTGAGCCTGTGATCAGACGATGAGGTTGGATGTATCTAACGCCCATCTGACAGGTGCAGGGCCAAACTAGTGAGATTACATCGCTCCTGGCTCAGCCGAAGTGTGGGAAAAACTTGTTTGCTTATGCTTGCAACCTGCCTCATAGACATGCCCATGCCTTATGCCCGGTGAAGGTCACCGAGTGGCTGTGAATATGTTTAAATGGGGCAGACTGGCCATGGGGACAGCTCGCTGTGAGCCGATGCCACGTGCCATGCCTTGGGACAGGGTGTCTTGTTGAGAGATGTTTCAGTGCTGTTGGCCAGCCCACGGGCTGATGCCGTGCAGGGACTCTGGCAGGTTCTCTAACCTGGGCACCGGGAGAGGAGCCATGAACCCAGGGTCCCCTGTGAACACCCGGGCTTCTGAGTCCTGATTTGCCCAGCTTTGAGCCTAAAAAATGACTGGCTGTTGCAAGCTAAGGCTCCTTTTCATTTTTTTTAAAAGAAGGTGCTATTAAAAAATCTCCACAGCTTGGTATTCAAAGTAACTTTTATTGTTGATTTTCACAGTGAAATAAATCCTGGATACAATATCAGCCTAAAATAATTAGAGGTAAGTACCAAATACATACACAACAACATTGTGTGGTGAAACATGTTCCAGGGTGTAATTGAGACAGCACTGTGTATGCTTCCTCCTTTATCCTGTCTAGCAGATGGAAGCCACGCCTGAGGTTAATCTATTTCAAAACATGTCTGGATTGGATTTAATTAGCTATATATTTTCCATAAATAATCTCAGCTCGAGCTGTTCTTTTACACATCCTAGAAAATCCAAGGTGAGCTCTCTGAGGAAAGCACCGATTACTACTAATTCAGCTAAGCAGATAATAAAGAGGTGATAGCTCTTTTGTAAAAATCTTTCTATTTTCTCTAACCCAATGGTGTTTTTTTTTAAATTGCATAAAATATTCAGTGCTATGGATTCATGATTCGGAAAGTCTTGTTGCCGTTGACCAGAACCCCTTAGCAGCAGGTTCTGCGCAAACCTCAAATCCTATTATTAACAGGCAAAAACCCTAAATGCAAGGTGGGAGATGGCATTCGCGTACATGGGGCTGGGGAGGAAGGCGTGAAAACCAGGAGGCGGCGTGCAGGTCCGGACGATGAGCTCTAGGTCCCTAACTGCATTGCGGTTGAGTTGGAGTATGTAGCTGAACGAAGCCTGCCTCGTGCGCGCCATTCGTGCTCGTGGGTCTCGCTCTGGGCCTTTAGAAGCCAGCGGGATGATTGGGAGAGGGCAGAAATTCGGGCTGCGGGGAAGCTGAACTCACATGCCTACGACACCGCTTGAAGCCTTATTATCTATTGCCAGTCCCGACGTGTCAGTTAGCGTATGGCTGTTAGTACAGGATAACGCTCGCGTTAGCTGGGGGGGAGTTGGAAGCTGTGCTGCTTAACAGAGATTCTGCAGTGAGTAAAAGGGTGTTGGAAAATGACCTCTGGTCGTGAGACACAGGGAGATGAGGTCTGGGTTTGCGATCTTCTCTCTTCAGGGCTTCCCTTGTCAGCTGCAAGTTACTTCTGCATGGGTGGCCACTGGTTGGGCTGCTTGACCTGCTGCTGCTCGATGGGAGGACACTTCTCGGGAAGGGAGCACTTCCCTGGCTCAGGGCAGGGAGCAGGGATTGGCACAGGGGTCTCCTTGCACTCCTGCTGCTCTGGAGGGCACGGGGTGGGCACAGGGATCTCCTTGCACTCCTGCTTTTCCTGGGGACATGGTGCAGGTTCAGGGCACGGAACAGGGATTGGCACAGGGATCTCCTTGCACTCCTGCTTCTCCTGAGGACACGGTGCAGGTTCGGGGCACGGAACAGGGGTTTGCACAGGGATCTCCTTGCACTGCTGCTTTTCTTGGGCACATGGTGTGGGTTCAGGGCACGGAACAGGGATTGGCACAGGGATCTCCTTGCACTCCTGCTTCTCCTGGGGACATGGTGCAGGTTCAGGGCATGGAACAGGGATTGTCATAGGGATCTCCTTGCATTTCTGCTTCTCTTGGGGACATGCTGCAGCCTCCAAGCAGGTGACAGGAACTGGCACAGGGATCTCCTTGCACTCCTGCTTCTCCAGGACACATGGAGTTGGTTCAGAGCAGGAAACAGGGGCTGGCACAGGCAGCTCTTTGCACACTGATTTCTCTTCAGGGCACTGAACAGGCTCAGAGCATGATACAGTTGGTAAAGTTGGTGGTAGCTTGCATTGCTGTTGCTCTTGTTGCTCCTGGGGTGGACACTTGGGTATTACGACCACTGGTGTTTCTCCCTTGCCTGGTTCCACCACCGGTGTTGGCAATGGCACTGCTTTTTCTGGGCATGGTACCACTACTACTGGGACTGGTTCTGGGCAAGGTGTTGGGACTTGGACTTCAGGTTGCTGCTGTGGACATGGGACCGGCTCAGTGCACGGCACAGGCTCTTGGTTTTGCTTTGAAATTGTTTTGCTCAGGCCAGGTGGGAGGGTGATTTCCTGCTTGATTTGCGTTTGATTCAAAGACATCTTTGCAGGAAACAAGATTATCTGAAAGAAATGTCAGAGTGTTATTGTGCCTGCTAAATGAATCGCACCGGGATGAGGGTGAAATGACTGTAAGAAACATGAATCAGCTGCAAGAGTAAAATTCTCGTAGTTTGCCCTTGGTTTTCAAGACAGGTTGGCTGAGAAAGTATTACAATTTGCTCTTTATTTTTCATCCTGCCTTTCAGCTCCTGCTCTGACTCTGTCTTATCTTGTTCCTCCTTTCTGTTCTGCAATGTGGGACAGCCTTGTCAGGTCTAACTGAGGTAGAGCCACTCCCTTTAACTGGGAGCTGATTTACACTTCAGAGCTCTTCCTCTTGTTGCTTAGCTCTTCCCAATGTGTTAATTCCCTTTCATATTTGTCCTGGGGAATTGATGAGAGGAGCTGGCAAATAACAGATCTGCTGGTTTGATAGCGGTTTCAGAAAGTCAAAATAATAATAAAAACATGAATGCTGAAGACAAACATTTAAAAACATCTGATGTATCAAAAAGTAGAAAAATAGAAATCTGGGCCCAACAGGATATTTTACGTTGCCAAAACTGAAATACGTCATTTGATTTTCCCTCTTTTGAAATGGTTTCCGTATTTTACTTGGAATTAGAAACCTGAGGTGCTAAAACCTCAAGGTGGACCTCACCAGTAAGCAGATATCTTTCTGTAGTATTAAAAGTTTTACAGCAACAATAGGCCAACTCCTCCTCTTGCTCTGGTTTCACTCTGACTTCACTGATGATGTAATGAATTGAGGTTACCTGTGGCACAGTTCTTCCAATTGTCATGGGAAGAATTAGCACTGGTAATGCGTCCCTCTGTTTCTGGATTATCATGGCCACTAATAATACATGTAGCTTGCATGAATCAGAATAATCAGAAAGGATTTCTTCTGCCGAGACCAGTAATGTGCAAAAGGCCAAATGGGTTTTCCTAATAATTTATGAAACCGGCTCTGTTCTGTGGGCTGCTGAAGGCAGGCGCCAGGCTCAGCTAGACTGCTGCTGTGTCTTTGGTAAAGCCTGTGTTGTTGTTTCTCTAAAGACAGTAAAATGGCACAAATAAAAGATTAGAATCACAAAAGCGTTGGTTGGAAGGGGCATTTAAAGTCCCCTCAACGCAGGACTAACACCGACACAGATGATGTGAGTGTGCAAGTTTGTTCTCCCTTCCCTATGTTGCCTACTCCTCTCAGCACATCTTCAAAGCAAATTCATTCCTCTCTTCTACTACCAGTGCCTCCTAGATCCTCCAGATCAATATCGCTTGGCTCTTGCTATTTTCTTTATAAGGACCTGATAAGATCTTAAGCCAAATGAATATATTGCTCTTGACATGGTTAGCATGGATGAGACAGCACACTAGGAATATTTTCACCCTTCTGCTCCCTACAGCCCCTCGTACTCCCAAATCTATCTTTTACAAAATAATTCTTCAATGAAATTGAAGCTTTAAATATATTTTTGTTATAAGTAGCAAAATCACAGAAAATAGATTTGGAAGTCACTTTAGCCTAGGGCCATTTAGACCTTCTCCTTCCCTGAAGGCAGGATCAGTTATACCTAAACCAACATAATTTTATCTAATCTCTTCTTCAGAAAGGGTCTAATTTAGCACTTAACTATCCTCAGATTTACACGCAACCTGAATTTGCCTTGCAGAGTCATTCCAAGACTGCTTGTCCTACCCCAATGCCCACAATTTCTTTTCTTTGCAGGAATCTTTTGCATATTCAAAGGTATCAAATAAAACACTTCTTTAAAGAGTCTGCCTACACTAAGCCAAACAGTAAAATCATAGACATCGCAAAAAAAGTATCAGTATTCTCTGACTTACCCAACCAGTCAACAGAGAGAAGCACGAAGTTGAGTGGATGGTGGAGCACGGAGATTTGAGAACTTTTATATGGTTTCAAAGCCCTGCCTTCTGGGAATGAGTCCTCCTAGGTAATGAGCTCATTCTTTCACAACTGCCGTTGTGCATTTCCTCCACAGACTTGTTTTACACGTAGGCATTGTGAAGAGAGGCTTTTGGTGCAGAATGTGTTTTAATCCCTTTTCTGACTAATCTGATTTAACAAAAAACTTTCTGTGTGAATAAAGGTCGTACCCTCAGGTTAATACATTCACTGCAGAACCCATCGAGATCAGGGGTCCTGGTGTGGTGTCAACACGGTTCCACTTCAACCCATGCATGAGTCATTTCATGTCAGCTAATGCCCCTGCTTCTTACGATGTATTTGTAGTTTAAGACAGGGGGACTAATCTGTACTTTTCTCACCTGCTTTTCATCAATGAATTCTCTAAAGAGACTTTCTTGTGATTCTATAAACTCGTGATGGATGGGTTTATTTTTTTTTCCCATGAAGATCATCATAGATTTAATTCTTCTTTTGTTTCAGAACAGATCATTCTGAATGCATGCTATTTTTCATGGTACAGAAGGTGCAGCTCCCACCGATCTAAATGTGACAGAAGCGGGAACTGAGTTTATCTCCATGTACCATGTGAAAAGTAAAAGGATTTTTTAATAGTATACCAGATTTATCACATCTGAATGGAATTTGGACACTGGTCTCATTTAGGTGCTGGAATGGCATTTGACAAGGCGTTTCAATCTACATGTGAAATATAGGCAGCTTGTAGCATATACAGTTTATTCCCTAAGCATTATTCCGAGTAAACAAAATTTATTGAGTGAAAATAGCTCATTGATTATTATCCTCAAAACCCCAGGAACCTATCAGGATACAGGTCAAACAGTCCTCATTTCTGATGGTAGGATTATTTTCAGCAGCAGCGACGACGCATCCCACACAGAGGTGAATTTCATCATATTCGGTTGTCTTGGGACTATCTTTGTCCTGTCTCCACCATTTTACCAGAGCCCTTATCAGAGCACGCACTCCAAATGCAATCGTGGCAACAGGCTGAGCTGGTACCAGTCACCAGTTGGGGTTCCTGGGCTGCAAATGTAAGAAGCTGTTACCAGCTGTGGTGTAACTTGCACTGTTAATAATAATTTGGCAACTGGAGGACAGAACACCTGAACTTCAGACCACATCTTCTTCTCCTACAGCGTGACTTCATCCATGCAACTTCCTTTCTTACCTCATGGCAGGTGGGGCCCTGCCTTGCTGGCTCTGGAAGCTCCTTAGTTTTAGTCTCCAGCCTTTGCTAGCGAGGGGAATATCCCGGCCCAAGACCTAACCCTGACTCAGGCCTCACCTGCTGCTCTGCTGGTTCAAATTGCAATCGTAGCTCTGCTGAAGGCAGGAACTAGGACACTTTCCAGCAGTGGAGAACCTGCCCGTCTGCTTTCTAGGTAGCATCATGCTTCGCGGTTATCAAAATAGCCCTTCTGCTGAGATATGCTCCCAGAATATAGCCCTTCAAAGCAGGAAGATAGAGTGAATAAGTTCAGACTCATAAAAGAAGTGGTTTTTATCATTTCACTTGTTGGCCCGAAGAGGACAGAGCAGCTGGGTTCGAAAGGAGGCAGTGCATTTCATTAGCTCAAACATTGCATTTGAATATTTGTGCAATAGTCACAAGTGAATATGCATCTTCAGGTCAGAGCTGCAGTAACCTTTGTTATATCCATCAATTAGAGCACCTGAGAGAAACAGGGCACGTAGCACTTGTGGAGCAGTGTTGAGGCAAAGACTGTTACCGGCCGCACAGCCATGGCTCTGTATTGAGACATTGCTTTTATTTAAGCAAGCAGTGAGGTTTCTGGACTATTTCAGTGTCAAATTTCCAGCCTCAACTTGCAACATCGGGTGGTTAAAGAAAATCACTTTCCATAGCTGGAAGGGAGACGACCTGAACCCTGTCTGGAGATCAGAAGGTGGGGCTGTCCTGACCTTAAACACTGGTTTGGATCCAGGTCTGGAGAGGCTCGGGGAGGTCACTTCACCTCCATGTCAGCAACCTCAGCAGAAAAATGATGGTAATTATCATCGAAGAGGCTCTGAAGTCAGCCCGTGGAAAGGGAGTGAATGTTTTTCCCATAGTAGAGGTGTAATTGCTTTCCCCTTCCATGTGAATTGCACAAAGACTATTTTTAGAGGCAAATGCCATATGCAGTGAAACCTGCCTTACTGAAACATATGGGAAACTACGGGAGAAACGTGCGTTGACTAAGGTGGCTTTACAGTGAACGTGGAGCTAAGCAGCTCCTCAGCTCTCAGCTGGTGGAGCCCAGCTCAGCTCCCAGATGATACTGAAGTTGTACAACTAGCTTTAGGGAAAGTAACACCACAAGTGAGAAAAATACTGGCCTGAGCCCATCCTTCCTAGACAGAAAATGCTACTCCAACTCCCACACAGCTTGGGTAGGTGCTGTGCTGCTATCAGCCTGCTGATGAGGTAATTAAGTCCCCAAAAGTCTAAGATGCCCTGGGAGGTACGCAGCGGTTACACTAGCAGCTCCAAACGGAGGTCTCTAGCTGTCAGCTTTATCTGGTTTATCATTGAGATGGCTGTCTCAATATCTCTAAGGGTCCTGAAGCTATATTGCTTCAATCTGAAAAAAAGGATCAGCTTTTTTAGAAGTGAAGGCCACTGCAGAGAACCTCAGCTCGGGATGTGAAATGCTCAGCGTGATCCTCGACTCGTGCCTGCATTGGATGCTCTTTGATTTTTCTCCGTCCAGTACTTTGAACCTTTGTGCACAGAGAAAATGATCTGAGGAAACTATTGCACTCCTGGATTTCACGTCTTGGTCTGATTCAGAAGTTGCTGAACTGGATCTCCCAAGACATGGCTCGCCCTGATGGCTTAATTAGACACTGTTTTGTTAACACCCCATCTTGTTCTTTATTACTGTGTCTGTCATCATTTTAGGGTGGACATCTTGATTAACTCATCTCACAAGACAAAAGACATAATTACCTGCTACTGAATTTCCTAGTATCGGTCTGTCTGCCTGTGAGTCCAGTCTCTAGAGCATCTTCTCTCCTAGTGCTGGAGACTGAGCATCAA